GGGGGGGGGTTCAAGTGAATGGGATCTACCGCCTAGCTGGAATAGGCCAATAGAGGCGGTACATGCCGGGGATCTCGCGGGGATGACAGGGGGGGACTGGGGGTAGGAAGCGATTCCTTCCTTCCATCTTTACCGGGAGCTCCTCATATCAGATGATCCGGTGGAAGCGGGGAAAATGATCGCCACTGCGGGGGAGGGAAGCGAGGTAATCGCGATAGAAGGAGGAGAGGGTGCGGAAAAGCGCCGCTTGAAAGATCTCGAAGTGGCGACAGGCGGGGATTGTCCCCGTGGCAACGCAGTAGACTTCTACGACGTTGGATCGCTCTCATGCAGCGCTGAACAGCAGGAGATGCCAGCAGAATGTGGGAGCAGCGGACTGAAGGGAGGCGTGAGGATGGACGGTGGCGAGTAGACGGGTAGAATAGAAGTCGCGGAAGAGATGAGGATGGAAAGGGTGGGAAGGGAAGGTGACGGGGGTACGGATATGTTTGAGGGTGAGAAAATCAAGGGGTCGGCAGGGCAGCGTCCGAGGTCGAAGGCCTATCGCCCGCATTGGTACGTGGGTGAACTGGGGGACGGGTGGGGCTAGAGAAGGAGGGGGATTGGCACCGTCTCCGTCACGCGGTACTTGAGGTGGCGGCTGCAGGGTCGCCATCTTCGGGCCTCGGCGGCTCTGGATCCCTGGTCGGACCGCTACCGATGCGTAGGCTAGCCTCTCTAGCGAACTCCAGCTGGCGCTTTCCGGAGGCAATCTCTTCGCGCCTTCGCGCTGCTTCCGGATCTTTCGCCTCCGTTCCCGTACGCGTCGCTTCCTCCGTCGGGGCTTCCCACTCGGATACGGTTCCTTCTTCTTCCTTTTCCTCCTCACTCAGCTTGCCCTCTCTATGTTCACTATAGCTTCCCTCCTCCGATGTTTCCTCGTCGTTGTCTTCTTCTTCGTTGTCGTCGTTGATCACCACTTCCTCTGCCCTTGGATAGAAGGCGTAAGGGATGATCTCGTACGGCTTCAAATACTCGTGCCGCGTTGGTAGGGTATCCTCGTCCCTAGGTTCCTCCACGCACGAAGTCCACTGAAGGTACGGATCCAAGGATCGCTCGAAAACGTACGGAGCAGGACTATTGTCGCTCTGAAAGTAGATACCGGGTGAGAGATCATCCGCCAATTGTACGATCGGTGCGATGAGCTCCTGTGCAATCAACTGACGGTGACCCGGTCGTACCGATCCAAAGAGGAATCCAATAAGATCTCCTTCCACGTTAGTCCTCCAACCTTGTATGATCAGCAGCTCCAGTTTCTCGATCCACGTGGGGTGCTCGATAGTGCCCGTCCACTTCACTTGTACTCTGGCCAAGCAAAAGGACAGCTCCTCAAAAGTTTCGCGCCACAATCGCCAATGTCCAGGATGGATAAGAAGGACTGAAAAAGGATCGAACGAGAAGGAAAGAGAAGGGTGGAGATCGGATTGCCAGAAAGTGGGGAAGAGAGAGGGGAGACCAAAGGTAGAGAGAGGAGCGAGACGACCAGTATGGTTCATTGGGGACGGGGGAAGGGGACGATGGCCGGGATCACAACTGGTCGCTCGCGCGGTGATCAGCGAATACCGTCAAGATCCGATGCAAAGATCGGGATGATGTTATACTCCTCCCAGTCGAGGACGTGCCACACGTTGGACACTTGCTCCGTCCACTCGCGCAGCGAGGCCAAGATCGAGGTATGCCGCAGCGGATTGACCGAGCTGAGGTCGCCGGTGAATCCCACCACTGTGGTGACGTGGCTCGTTCTGGGACCCGCTCGCTGATGAACTGCAGTAACCTCCGCGAATACTATCGCGTGAGGGCTTCCTTCTATCCGGAACGCGGCGGCGGCACAGATACCTTCGTCGTAGAAGAATCGCATCAAACGGCGGAGATCCGTATTGAGCCGAGGGTGACAAACTTGCCGGATCTCTGAGATGTGGCCACGTGGCTGCCGCAGCTGTGCGTCAAGAACCCGCTCCGTGATGAAACTCATGGCGATGTCGGAGAGGAGGACGAGGGACAAGAGGGAGAAAGAGGAGAGAGGGTTAGATCGTCGTCGTTTTCCTCACTTTCCGAGGAAGAAGAGGGAGGAAAATCGGAAGGAGGAAGGAGACGAAGGTAGGAGGTATATCTTACGATGGGGACGGAGCTATGGTTGGCGCTAGCCTCAGGGGCGATGCGCACCGTGTTAGCGCCGTTGGGTCCGAGTTCGACAACGCGAAAACAGCCAGAGAACTTGGGAGTGAGTTTCCGGTCGCGTGCACATTTACGTACCTGCACTAGGTCCCCCAATTTATACTGGTACTGGGGCCCAGCATTTCCGTTCCGAGCCTCGTAGCTACGGACCTGTCTACCGTGGGCCAGCTCGGTCATCCTTTGCCTTTTTTGGGCTAGCTTCGGGACGGCCCGTTCCATCAATCCGGTGTACCTCTTGGCCTTGGCCTTGAGGGATGCACGCGTGTCTCTACCCCCTCCTTCGGCAATTTTCGAGTTACCCCGGTAATCGACACAGGGAAGGCTATTAGTTCGAAGCTGAAAGGGGGTGAACCCCGTAGACTCGTGAGGGGTGGGCCGGTGGATGCCGACGATCTGATATACGATCTCGGGCCACAGACGCGTGTCGTGTGCCGCTAAGTTTCTGCAAAGGGCGGTTTTAATCATACGGCTGGTATTCTCAGCCAACCCGTTCGACTGGGACACGTGGGGTGCCGTATGTCGGAGCGTGACGCCCCTTCGCGCAAGTAGTTCTTCTACCTCACCTTTAAATTCAGACCCATTGTCGGTTAGAATTTCTTTCGTATCTAGATGGGTATAGAGGAACCGTTCGATGTACGCGGCTATTTCTGCAGCCTTTCGGGTCTTACAGAGATAGACTTCGATGTATTTGGAAAAATTATCAATTAAAACCAACAGGATAGAATATTCACAGCGGTTTGGGCCAACTGGCACGTCAATGTCTGTCGTGTCCATACTGACTCGCTGAAAAGGACGCCCTACTTTCGTTGGTACGATTGTGTTTGGTCCCCGTATAGGGGCGCGATCAGCGGCACAGACCGGACAGTTAGCGACAATGTATTTGACATTACCTCATATATTGGACCAGAACCATCGATTCTGGTCTACAGTTGCCTCCGTGACACGTATCGGGAAATGAGCGGCCTGTTCCTCGTGAGCAGATCGGATCCAATCGTATCTCTGGAAGGGATGAGGAACTGTCAGCCATGAACCCGATCTGTCAGTTTTACGCTTTTCCAAATGACCGTTGATCCATCGATAGTCCTGAGATCTCTCGGTCTCCCTACGTCTGTCATGTTTGGTGAGATGGCCCAATGATAACCGTCGGTATTTTTCGTCGTATTCAGGACCGTCCGTACGGGCGGCCTCGAATCGAACCTCCGTGGGGAGCTTGTTCGTTCTACACAGGGGGCACCTCCATTCCTTGCTACTCGTTCGATATCGAACGCAGACTCCGTGCGCACGATTGACACACTTGGCACATTCCACCCAATCGATAAATCCGGTCTCGAAGGGGTGACAGTCGATACCATAAACTCGTGCAATACACGTGCAAAAATAGCAGAATTTATCAGGAAGGGTGGCGAAGAAGGCCGAGGAAGTGAGAGGGGCAGAGTCAGTACGAGAAGAAGGGGTTGCGGAAACGAGTGGGGTAGTCATGATGGCAGAGGAGGAGGGGATGCAGGGAGAGCAAAACAGAACAACTAGTCCTCGTGTCACTTACTGCTTCGATAAGATCTCCACTTGGCCGTACCGAGGTCCGATCTCCCGTTCGGGTTCGTTCCACAGAATTATCTCCTCACCCTTTGGAACCTTCTCAGGCCGGTGCAGTCGTGTCAGTCCGTCCGCATTCCCGTGTCTCTCGTGCTTCCGATGACGAATGTCAAAGTCCATGCTCTGCAGCACTGTTGCCCATCGCCCGATCATGCCCGAATAATCCTTCGACTTCTTCAGAGCCAACAGGGGCTCATGATCAGTCACCAGGGTGAATTTTCGCCCGTACAGGTAAGCACGGAAGTGACTGATTCCCCAGAGAGCCGCATAGCATTCACCCGTTGGAGCGGCGTAATTGCGCTTGCAGGCGGGCACTGATTTGGACGCATACTCCATTACACTCTCGAGTCCGCTCGGTCCCACCTGGGCGAGGATCGCCGAAATCGCCTCTGGCTGCCAGTCGGTGATGAGAACAACAAAAGGTTTTTCGGGATCCGGTCTTATAAGGACCGGAGCCGAAATGAGAGCAGCTTTGAGTTTGGAGAACGCTTGATCGCACTCCGGCGTCCAGATCAACGGCTGATCCTTGCGTAGGAGATTTGTGAGGGGTCCCGCAATCGCTGCGAAGCCCTTGATAAATCTTCGGTAATATGAGGCTAGGCCCAGAAAGGCGCGAACTTGCGTGATAGTGGTAGGCACTGGCGCGTCTCTGACAGCTGCCACCTTCTGCGGCTCCGGTTGGAGTCCCTTGTCTGTCACCACGTGCCCCAGGAATGGTGGTGAGGAAAAACTGACACTTTTCAAGCGTCACCTTGAAACCTGCATCTCGTAATGCGTGCAGTGCCCATTCGATGTGCTGCACGTGTCCCTCTTAGGAACTTGAATACACCAAGATGTCATCCATGTATATAATCATGCAGTAGTTGATGATGCTCTGCGCCAAACGAGTCTTCCGTACAAAGTTCTGAAAAGCCATGTTCATGGCCCGCTGGAAAGTCGCAGGGGCGTTGCAGATACCCATCGGACATCGAATCCACTGCCATGTACCCTCGAAAAGTACAAATGTCGTTTTCGGACGATCTTCTTTTCGAACAAGAAGATGATGGAACCCATGGCGAACATCAAACTTGCTGAAAAATTGAGCACTCCCAATCGCATCCAACAACTCATCAATCCGGGGGAGGGGGTACACATCTTTGATCGTGATATCATTCAACTTTCGGTAATCAATGCAAATGCGAATCCCTCCGGCCTTTTTAGGTACGATTACTATAGGGAAAGACCATGGTCCTATAGCGGGTTCGATCCATCCATTAGCTTCGAACTCCTTAATCCGCTGAAAAGCAGCAGCTCTTTAAGCTGGCGAGTATCGGTAGGGAGCGCAGCTAATGAGTGGATGATCTCCTGTGAGAATGGCATGCTCGATCACATTAGTTAACCCCATGTCGTTATCGTGTATGCTCAATACTTCTTCGTAGCCATTTAACACTCGAATTAACGATTTCCGAAGTTCCGCGGGACCGTGACCTGGCAAGGTGATTGTTGATTCCCCGAAAATCTTGAGGGGCATATCGATCCAATCAACTGGTCGTTCCCGTCGATTATGGACACTAGAAAAAACGGAACTACTGGTGCGAACAGAGAAGACAGTTGCTATCATCTGGGACTGAGCAGGGCTGATCATCTCTATTTCTTTAGTTTCAACGTCAGTTTCTGAACCAACCGAGGTCGGTTCCACAGTTAGCCCTGTTAGATCCGTCATTTCTTGCATCAGATTAGGTACATCATTTACCGGTCCTTCCGCTTCTTGTTTAATCAAGGCGATGGTGGCTCCTGTCGTTAGTAACGATCGGGGTGGAAAAACAGAAACGTCAAAATACTGTTCCGTTTGCTGATAACGCGTTTGTAAGGAAAGAGCTCCCTCGTACAAGGTGCGAGGGGATTCCAAATCATCAGCCAGATCGAAAACTTGTAAAATGGGTTCCCCGAGGAGAACTGAAGGACTGACCTGGGTTGTTCGAGGTGTGAATATATTGTCTTCAGAATCCACGTGGAAGCTTCGAGCGGTGTCGGGGCACACTCAAAACTCTTCAGGGGTTTCATGTTCGAAAGGTTCAACCAGATGTTTTCATTCCTCTTCACTGTGCATCTCTTCTTCGTATTCTCGCTCCCTGATTCCATCCCCGAGGTTCGAGGGGGAGCACTCCTCGGGATCAATGTATCGAATCATCCCGATGAGAGCCGCGTTAGGGACCCGTTTTATCGTTCAGGTGGAAACTCGCAAAGGAACAGTTTGAGGTTTTCCCCCAGTTTGTGTGAGCACCAATTGCTTCGAATCAAAATGCAGACGTGCGCCCACCGCCATCGCCCAAGGTAATCCCAACAATACAGAGTAGGAACGTACATCTATTACGAGTGCGTTAACAAGGACGTGTACTCGTTCCACTTTTACGGCTACGTTCTCGATAATACCTACGATGTTCATTGTTTCCTCGTCGGCAGAGATATAGTTGTCTTTGCCAAATTGAGGAAGAATGGATCCAAGTCGTCCCGTCTTTTTGACAGTATCTAACGATATGGCCACTGCAGAAGATCTTGTGTCGATAAGGGTGTTAAACGACTTACCCCAAACTTCACAGTCACATTCTGCGCTTTTTCATAGTACCGGTTGAGCTCGTACGAAGTGATCCTTTTTTGCTAAAGAGATCGCTGCTATACGTGCGGCTTCGGGTTCAGGTTCTTTTGTATCTGGTTCGAGAGGTGCAACCTCCTCACCATCTTCCTTCTTCTTCAACATCCGTTGTATGCGCTGATAGGTGAAGCACTTTTGATTTTTCTGACAATGTTGTAAAATTTTATCGTTCGCTGCTTCAGATATGGTAAGCAGATGTCCTACTGGATAGGAACGCAAATATCTAATTGCTTGAGTGTTTTCAGTACATCAATATCCCCTATCCGAAACTGTGGTCCAGGATTGGACTCGCGATCGACCCATTCGAGATCACCTTGGGCCGATCGGATCGTTCCGATTATTCCGGCAAGATGGAGATACTCGAGGGGATCGACCACGTGAGCAGCGTCAGAGGAAGAAGCTCCTGATGTCGGCGTCATTGTCGTCAAAGGGGAAGGCTGCTCCGGGGCGTATGCCATGAGTTCTCTTCCCGGGTCCGTGTCCATCAGAGCGGTCACTCGTCCTTGATTAAGGGCGACGGGGGCCGCAACAGGGAGAGGCTGATTACGTTTCGGCTGCGGACAGTCTCGGGGGAAATGCCCGGGCTGTTTGCAGTTGAAACACTCGATCTTTCCTACCGGATTAGCTAGATGGGAAAACTGAGGGGCGAATCCTGGAGCAGGTGGAGCAGGTAAGAGCGGAAACGATGCAGGGGTAGGTCGGGCAGGAGTCGGGTTAGGTTTATTGAGCCGGCTCATTATCT